GGATAACTTATCAGTTAGGTCCCAGACTAGAACAACTGTTCAAATTACAATTAATAACAATGAACATTGCCGGCTCACCGATGCAACTGTTTATCCTTCACTAACACCAATGTGCTTAGTGCGAGTTTTTTAACGTACTCGATAGCGTAAAAGTTAACTCTAATTTGTATGCAGTCGGAACAGCGCCCCCAGCGGCAAACGTAGGCAAACGTTTCAACCCCATACAAATTAGAGTTAACTTTTACGCTATCGAGAACGTTAAAAAACTCGCACTAAGTACACAGGTCCTGTCAGTCTGCGGTACGCTTCTGTTCCGAGTTTAAACACATATCTTAACCATAATATTATTATACATGTAACCTCTATACGATTAATCCTTAAAGAGGTTAATATGTTATTTATATCTTTTTATATTTTAATATTGCAAAAATGCTCTTTGTATGTCTAATGTTCTAATGTTTCAATAATCGAAATTCTATTTATGTCATCTATAGAAGAATGATATAAATAACATATTAACCTCTTTAAGGATTAATCGTATAGAGGTTACATACATATTTAATTAACATTAGATACAAATAATTGAACGAAAGTGACCACACTTGTTTATGACCTTACACACACACACATAACTTACATTTATATACGTTCTAAGAACTTAAGGAAAATATTTTGTAAAACCCCTTTGTGCGAACCGCTAGCCTTACTGCGAAGCGAGCGCCTCTCATGGGAAACGCGGACTCACCGAGATTGGGAATGCCCGTTCGATCATCGACTTACTTACTCTATGAAACGGAAAAAACATAATAATATCTCTGTGCGTGGCCGGCGCCACAAACATCGCGTTTTAACCTATGACTGTAGCGCTGACTTTAACCCTTTTTATCAATTTCGGCGTAGAACAAACTTTGTAAATATATTTGGAAGGAGATATTGAAATGTTTCAAATGCGGAATAAGTGAAGTGACCACAAGTATTACGATTAATGGATCACGGTCATTTCGTGGTGCGCGATACCCGAGCAACTAACGTCGTGCTACCTGGGACCGGGGCGTCTCTATATTTTTTGCCGGGAATTGTCCGGCTCTAGAATGAACTTGCTCCCCGATGTTTTCTATGACATGTCGTTCGAACGTTGGTCCCTTAGCATTTCTGACGTTGATAGCTCTCCCTAAAGTGGACCATATCGACGCTTGAAAGGCAAACATGACTAAGCGATAATGACTGCTTCGTACATAAATGATAGGCAATAACCATATTCGATGCGCAAAAAAATATATACATTTCTAGGTCTATTAAAATAATTTCAATCCTACAGCTACTAGCTAGATTCTACTACAGCTAGATTCGTTAAAATATTTTTTTTTTCCAGGTATTTAAACTTTAAATTAGTCTACTGTAAAGTTCACGCATTGTCGCTTAGTCACGTTTGCCTTTCAAGCGTCGATATGTTCAGTCAGTTTTGATAATAAAACTGACGATATATATATAAAAAAAAAACATGAATAAAGAATCTTCGCCTTTCGCGAGTCATAGACGTAATTTAAACTACATTTACGATTTAATATCGCATTAGTATTGTCATTATAATATTGTGTCCGACATCCCGAATAGATGTCTTCTTGATCATTGCCGATTCTCCAAGTCATAAAATACGCGATATGAAACCGCAAAAGTAGGATAAATTCGCAAACCTGTGTTCAATCAATCATTACTATATTAAATTACTGCATTAAGGTTTTAATAATTAACAACATAATATCAATTATAATAATTCTCGACAAATAAGGTGATCTTTTAATAACGAATAGTTACAAACTCTAATAGTTATAGTTTGTATTTATGTGGTATGAGTCATTATTTTAAGTTTATTTCCGTTAACAAATTTAAATGTACAAATCCTTAAAAGCCTCTCCCAAGACTTATTTCGGATGTTGATATCCGAGAATTTCATCAACCAATACAATAAATCAAAGTTATTTTCAAGTACAACAGAAAAATTGACAGCCCGGTGCGTTGCTGTTTTTGTTTTGATAGCCGATTCAAAGAACAATAACAATCATTGTTAATCTGAGGAAATTAGGGCTAGTTTGTTGCATCATTAAACTGTTTTTGTTGTTTGGAAAATCCCAGATGAAATAAGATCACGTTATTCGGAACGTCAAAATTTTAAAACACATTTTGTTTACGTTCGCATTATATTTCTTACTAGCGACCCGCCCTCGCTTCGCTTCGGAAACTGTAATTTATTATTGATTTCTCCACTATTTAATGGATAGTATTATACATAATCTACGCCTATGTAAACCTTCCTCTTCAATAACTCTATCTATTAAAAAATACCGCATCAAAATCTGTTGCGTAGTTTTAAAGATTTAAGCATACATAGGGACAGAGAAAGCGACTTTGTTTTATACGAGGGCTGCACTAAAAGTATCGGGAATGGAATATTTCCACTGTTCCTGTCATATTAAAATCTTTTTAATTGAAAACTCCTTGGTTTTAAAAATCGAATACCATTTATTTATTTAAAAAAAGATTCTCGGTCTTGTCACGAGGTTTTGTCAAACTTGTTTAGTCGTTGAGAAAATGGAATTGACTCGAGAAAATTCAAGAGCGATGATTTATTATGACTTTCGAAGTGGTTTAACACAAAAACAGTGTGTTGACCGGATGATTTCTGCATTTGGTGATGAAGCCCCATCCAAAACCACAATTTATCGCTGGTTTGCTGAGTTTCAACGTGGACGTGTCAAGCTCAGTGATGATCCCCGTCAAGGTCGTCCAAAAACTGCAGTCACCCAAGAAAACGTTGATGCTGTGCGTAAGCTGATTCAGGAAGATCGATATGTAACATACCGCGAAATTCAGGCAACTTTAGACACTGGCATGAGTCAAATACAAATAATCTTGCATGAACAATTAGGTGTAAAAAAGTTGTTTTCCCGACGGAAAGGAATGGATGGAAGAAAAGGATGGATACCGCATTCGCTCTGTGAAGAGCAAAAAGCGGCTCGCGTTACTTGGTGCGTCAGAACTCTCGAAAGATTCCACGCAGGATCCTCAAATGCTGTATACAACATTGTATCAGGTGACGAATCCTGGATATACGCGTACGAACCCGAAACAAAAAACCAGTCACGAGTTTGGGTGTTCGAAAATGAGTTAAAGCTAACAAAAANATACAACATTGTATCAGGTGACGAATCCTGGATATACGCGTACGAACCCGAAACAAAAAACCAGTCACGAGTTTGGGTGTTCGAAAATGAGTTAAAGCTAACAAAAATTGTTCGTTCACGGAGTGTTGCAAAAAAAATGGTGGCCACGTTTGTCTCCAAAACCGGCCATGTTACGACTATTCCTCTTGAGGGACAAAGAACTGTTAATGCAGAATGGTATGCTAGCATTTGTTTGCCACAGGTCGTTTCTGAACTCCGTAAAGAGAACTGCATCCGCCGCATCATCCTCCATCACGACAATGCGAGTTCTCACACCGCGCACAGAACAAAAGGGTTTTTAGAGCAAGAAAACATAGAATTATTAGACCATCCGCCGTACAGCCCCGACCTAAGCCCTAATGATTTCTATACTTTCCCAAAAATAAAGAATAAATTGCGTGGACAGAGATTTTCATCACCTGAAGAAGCTGTGGACGCCTACAAAACGGCCATTTTGGAGACCCCAACTTCCGATTGGAATGGTTGCTTCAATGATTGGTTCCATTGTATGGAAAAATGTGTCAAATTTCGCGGAGAATACTTCGAAAAGCAATAAATACATTTTTAAATAGTAATGTTGTGTCACGTCGTTAATTCCCGAAATTTTGAGTGCCGCCCTCGTAGTATCGTCGATTACGACGAAGAGTTCGACAAGCAAACTAACACATCCCACTGAATTTCTCGCCGGACCTTCACAGTGGGTCGCGATTCCGATCCATTGGTAGGATCTCCAAAGCACTGCTCTTGCTAGGGCTAGTGTTAGCAAATTCTCTCAGAATGAGCCCGTGAGCTCACTTACCCGTCCGGGTGTAGTTGGAATAGCGCCCTAAGCTACCAGCGAATAAATAGGGAAAAAAGTACGAACTGACATCCGCCACGAAGGAACAATATTTGTATTTAATCATTTTTAAGCTGACTCTAGTCAAGGACGGGAATATCACTCACTCCTGCACTTATCTTGCAGTCGTCTGCCCTAACGGTTCGCGGATTGTAATACATCGCACCTCGTGATTAAATGGGGGTAAAACACATCTAAGGCACATCTTGATATAAATAATGTCTCCTAAATAACGAACATAGTTTCCTATGTTGAAGCTAGCATTGACGTCAAAATATGTACGTAATATAAAAAACAACTTGAACCATTACATACATCTAAGAATATATTATTAAGTAAATTAATTTTTTATTTACAATAGCATAGTGTAGTATGACGTGCGGTAATTATTAAAATTTAGCAGATTATTTACTGTTTTTTATTCAAAATGATTTATTAATAATGCCTAAGTAAAGACGTCATTACACATTTTCGCGTAATGTTGTTTCTTGATGACTCTTTCATATTTTATTAATCAATAAATGTGCTAAATAAATACTGTTACGCTGCTAAAAGTAACGCCATCTGTCATCAAATAGCAGAAACGAATATCAAAAGAACTAGTAATATCGAGAACGCTCGAGAAGTGTAACGCCCCCTATTATCAAATAACGGAAACACATATGGAAACGACTAGTACTATGGGGGATGTTCTCGATAACTGTAGACTTGTGTCGACTATAAAAGCGTTGCCGAGATGACATGAAGGCAGTTATTAATTGGTTCTACTCGAAGCGAAACAGCGAATTAATCACCTGAAGCGAAGCAGAAGAAGTGAAGTGCGAATTGTAAAGGGTTCCTAAGGTGTTCTAAGCGTTAAATAGATTTTTAATTTGGTGAAAGTTTTATTTATCCCGAGCCCCAATGCGCAAAAATATATATATATTTTTGTTTTTCTTAGATTTATTGCACCGTTTATTACTAAACAGAGTTAGAAAAATATATTCGAGAAGAAAAACTGTGAAACATCATTCTATTAAAAAAAACGATAACACGTAACCTTTATCTCCCGTAACCTGAGAATTATTGATATCACTTCAACTTAATGGACTTTATAGCAGCTCATCACATTTAAATGTATATCAGATTTAATAGACAGTCCCCTCGGAGTTTTTTTTTTATTGCCCTTTTAGGCAGACGAGCATACGGTCCACCTTATGGTGAGTGGTTACCGTCGCCCATGAACTTCAGCAATGCCAGGAGCAGAGCCAAGCCGCTGCCTACCGCTAATCGCACGAGACGGAGGGCCTGGCGCTGGGAGCTCCACAACATCCACACGTAAGGCAGTTTGGACGTCCTATCGCGGGGGTCAGCGGCCGCACCAGCGCGTTGGATCAGCAAGCAAATATTGTTTAACATTTATACTGAAGTAGTAAATGATAATTATTTCAGTACCGAGAGAAACTTGCACACTGTTATTTTTTTTATAATTCAATAATTATTTTTTAGAATCCTGTATTATCTCTTCGAGTCTGTGCTAAATTCTATTTTTTTTGTTATTTTACATTGAATGGTTAGTATTTTAAAGTTCAATCAACCTTACCCAGTCTCAAGTTGAGTGCTAGCAGTGTGGGACATTCCGAATCTTGTATTCAAATATAAAATTATCGTTAATTATATTCCCACATGTAAACACAGAATTAGTTTCCATGGGATATAACTGAATTAGGGTTGTCAAACGAAGCAGAGCTTGGAGCAAGTGTGAGCTGGCACGGGCGTCCCTAGACCTCTGTGTAGTAGGTGGGCCTGTTGATGCTGAGCAGCGAGAACACGTTGGGGAACACGAACGTGGTGTTGAAGCCCACCATCGCGTACGTGAAGTACTTGTAGCACAGCTCCACTGTCACCTTGTGCTTATTGTCTAAACTATCTTCAGAATTCCTCAATTCGTTCTTGTCTTTGCCTAGCAGCGCGCAGATGAAGGCGTACGACACTGACTTGCCGATGGCCCTGGTGGCCAACACGCCGCAGAAGCCCAGCGTCGTCCTGAGGATGGTGCAGCCCAGCATCTCCACGGAGGGCCATATGATGCGGTAGGGGGGGCCCCGGTCGTCGGCCGTCATGTTCCCCAGCCGGTAGTTGGTCCAGGAGCCGGTCAGGATGCCCGCGCACACGCTCACGATCATGGTCGTGTCGCCTCTGCAACAACACTTGCGTTACATACGACTGCGCCACACGGGACGTGTTGCCGCGGCGTTACGTATCCGCATGCGATCACATTTTGTGTATTTGCGTGAGGCGTCAGCCGTCACAGAACAGAACACAATCAGACTATAGCCTGTATCATAACAAGATGAGTTCGCGGGTATACATCGTCTAATCTAGTCGCCCGTCGGTCTATCGGACAATATCACCCTCTCGAAGACAATTTTCCCTCTGTCGTTTCGTTTTGTACACAAAATCAAGGCGTTTAATTGTCGGTCAAACCCTTTAGCAGGAGAGCCCTTCTGCGGCATGTAATAGCCAGTGACGCCACCAGGGCCTGTGCTCTCACCTAGTTGGTGTCCATTTATCGGCATTAGGATGAAACACGATGACAAGTATTGAGAGTGTGATGACCAACACGGGAGCACACTCCCACGTGAGGAGGAAACCGTCCAGTCGGTCTACCGCAGGTATCAGGATGAATAGCAGAGATGAAGCGAGGAGCAAGCCTGCTGCAATATCCTGTAAATTAAATTAAGCAACTAGTAACTAGTATACCAGTAGGCAGCGGCTTGCCTCTGTCCCTGGCATTGCTGACGTGCATGAGCGACGGTAACCACTTACCATCAGCTGGGCCGTATGCTCGTCTGCCTGCTCAGGCAATAAAAAAATCAAAAAAATATTCTTGACGGAATAGACATGATTGCAATACCCACTTGTGTGAGTCTACAAGACACCCTATCACCAGTGAATACTGAGATGCTCGTTTACAATCAGAGTAAGTTAGTTTAATACTCAGTGAATGCTTCTTATGACTCCTTATGACACTTTGCGTCAAATGGGATCACCTGTGGAACATACTAGTAGAATTGGGAGTACCGCAACATCTGGTCCTACTGCTACATAACCTGTACATTAATAACCAGGGAATCATTAGAGTGGAGGAAACAATCTCTGCCCCCTTTAAATTTAGGAAGGGCGTAAGGCAAGGTGCATATTATCTCCAGTCCTTTTCAATATCTATGGAGAGTATATCATGAGACGGACTTGTGAAGGCTGGGATGGTGGAGTTACCATTGGTGGAGTAAAATTGACCAACCTCCGATACGCCGACGACACCACTCTTCTCGCGGCTAATGAAAGCGAGATGGCTGCTCTCATGAGCAAGCTTGAAAAAATTAGCCTCGAACTTGGTCTTGCCATTAACCGATCCAAAACAAAAGTGATGGTAATAGACCGCATGAACAAACTGGAGCACACGGGGTCACTGCATCTTGAAACAACAGAAAGATTCATATACCTGGGCTCCATGATTGCGAATACTGGATCGTGCGAGCCTGAGATTCGAAGACGTATCGGGATAGCAAAAACTGCCATGTCTCAGCTTGATAGCATCTGGTCCGATAGAAACATCTCCATAAAAACCAAGCGTAAACTTGTAACAAGTCTTGTGTTTTCTATTTTCTTATATGGGGTAGAGACATGGACTCTGAAGAAGGCTGATCGAAGTCGGATCGACGCGTTTGAGATGTGGTGCTGGAGGAAAATGCTGCGGATTCCCTGGACGGCGCATCGGACAAACGCATCAATCCTGGAAGAACTAGGCGTCTCTTTAAGACTCTCCACCATTTGCCTACGTAGGATTTTAGAGTTTTTCGGTCACGTTACGAGAAAAAAGGGTGACAATCTCGAAAGACTTCTCATCACCGGCAAAGTGGAAGGAAAGAGGCCTAGGGGGCGCAGTCCCATGCGCTGGTCCGATCAGATCAAGACGACTTTGGAATCCAGCATCAATGTCGCTATCCACTGTGCGGAGGACAGAAGTGAATGGAAGAACATAGTCCTGACAAAAGTGCTCAGTAAAGGTCACGACCCTCAGAACTGAGGAATACGACGCACGGAGGGGAGGATGACACTCTCGCAATTTTCTAAGCAAAATATTACATATTAATAAGAGCATTCAAATAGTAAAAAATTTGAAATTGTTGTAGAAATACTTCATAGATATAAGCAATTTTGATAAATTTTACACAAGGTTATTACTTCATTTTTAATGTTACTTGGTGTTAACACACTTTATGTTCATAAGTCTTTTTTTTTTTTTGCCCTTGTAGGCCTTGTAGGCAGACGAGCATACGGCCCACCTGATGGTGAGTGGTTACCGTCGCCCATGGACTTCAGCAATGCCAGGGGCAGAGCCAAGCCGCTGCCTACCGCTTAATACTCTCCACAAGCCTCGTTTGAAGAAGGACATGTCATAGATCAATTTACGCTACAGAGCCCCAGATCAACAATAAATCATCAGACCCCATATCTATTCCATGACACGTAGACCATGAATCTTTTAAAATAAAAAAATTCATCATCTGTGTCCAAGGTTTTGTCATCTAACACCACATTCAATTTTCAATGCAGTTCTTCAAGTTGAGGTTCAGTACTCGAATTCGCATTTTACAAATTCACTATGAACTACAGACAATGGTGTCTGGCTATGGGCTGACCCTGATCTTAAGTCATAAAGGTCTTACAAAAGTGATGCATATAGTGGAATTTGGTAATTTAACCAGTGCAATGCAATATCTGATTTACAGGTAGGCTGTATGTTAATATTAATCAATTTGCAATTAAATCAAGAACACTCACCAACACACTATGCATTCCCAGATATACTCTACTAACACAGATCAGGGTACACCATGACACTGCTATCAGTATCCCCCAGTGGACTGGGTAAATATACCTGTCCATTGTATAGAGTAATACTGAGAATGGCATGCACACTCCCACCATGGCGTGAGTGGAGGGCATACCGTATTCTATAGCCCATTTCTGCTGTAACTTCTTTACTGGGTAACCAGGGCGAGGCCATCGAATTATATCCTTAAAACCTTGTCCTGGAATGAGATAGACACTTACTGTATTATTTTTAATATGAATAGTTGCTAAGTAGCAGCGTTGTACATGTTACTGGACATAAGCATACAATGTCTATGAATTATTCTTTTAAAAACTACTGCTATATGAAAAAGAGTTTAAAATATATAAGTATATTAGAAAAACAATAATGTTTGAGTTTAATATTATATATCCATTCAGTATAAGCTCTTTTAAAATTGATTGCGCTGACATTTGACAAGTTACAAGGTCAGAGATTTTTATGATTTCACAAGTCAATATTATTATAATGACACTATTTAACCAGAAACCTTACTTATTTATTTAAAAAAGGTTCCCAAGAGAAACCTCCACTTCACGTTTTATTTAAGGATTTATTAACATCTGCAATAGATTTTGTAAGCCCTGCAAATTCCTACAAGAGTATTGTTACAAAAACAAAGTATCAAAAGAAACTAATTAATAACCCCTTTGGGAATCAAACTTCATAACTTTTACCATTAGTTTTTTCTGTGTAGTTCTAATTTGGGCAATAGGTATGGACAATTAAACCTACTTTTAACTACCATTTTACCATTAAATTAATTAACCCAATATTCAAATGTCAACTATTAAGACCTTAGTTAGGCATTCTTGACCATGAAAACTGTAAATTATTTGAACTCCGGTGATAATAAAATGAAAATGATAAATGTAATGTTAAGCTATAACATTAGTTTTAATTGTATACATAGCTTATAACAAGTAAAAAAATTCTGAAAGGTTATGCATTGTATAATTTTCCGATCTATGCAAAATATTTAATAACGCATTCATTTTTTTCTTGGAATTTTTAAAACATCTATCTTTTTTACTTAATGTGATGATATCACACACCTAATTAATTGTAGAATCATTCTTCAAAAATTCTAATATTATTGGTGGACCGCATACAACCTAATAAAGTCGTTGTGTATATGAAGATAATTAGTATGCACGTAACGTACGTTGTCTACATTAATTTATATTTATCTATTACGTACCAATGTACATAACGACAGTCCAAACCAATACGACTCGCCGTCCTACGGCGCCGTCAATATTCCAAAACCAAAACGGTATGAATGTAGCGTAGAATATCTCATCTCCTAACTCAGTTCCGAGTACAAACAAGTAGTACCAGAATTTGTTATTGATTGAGAGCCCGAGATCGTCTTTCGTCGTTGTTTCTCCAGAGGTATCAGTGTCGTACGAGGACTGTGAGCTGTTAGATATGTTGCTTGGTATCCTCTTGTGCTGTTTGATATCGCATTCTTCTCTCAGGCGGTCTAGTCTCTCTGAATTTATCACTTTAGACTGTTCGCTCTTCGTATCACTGATCTGTCTGTTAGATTTATAAGTGACGCCGAAAAAATTTTGTACTTTAATAACTAATAATGGATCTTTTAAGTATTTTATCGTATTCTCCCACATTATAACAGTTGATTCGCTAGATTTGAATAATTAAAAAAAGAATGAAACCTCTAAATTCGATAACGCAACACATCGAACCTTAAAAATGAAACCAAGTTATACAGCGAAAATAAAAGTTTTTTAGTAGATAAGTATGTCAATTTGACACATATCAAGGACTTCATAATAGATTATACACTTAATCTGTATGAGATTATATGAAATAGCATCCACCGTCGCGTTGTGTCGCAAAAGCATGGTCATAATATTTTAATTAAATTCAAATTTTATAAATAATAAACTCTTGTGTGATCCTCGTATTGATTCTGTTGGAGTGTGAATATGAAAGTAATGGCCGGCTGCACTTGACACAACTAAGGTTACAGATTTCGAATAATAGAGTTATTTTAAATGTATAAAACAAATAATTGTCTTCTCGTCACTGAAGACAATGACTTCTCATCTAGACACGAGCAGAGCAACATCTAAGAGTTTTATAATTTTAATGGTGTAATAGTGTACAAAGTATTTACAATATAATTATAATGAAGCAGTGTGTTTTTAAAGAGCCCCTCATCAACCTACAAAACCCAGACCCCTCAAATTTAACCGTCTAACTGCTAACAGATACCATGATTCTGTGCTAAGCTAGGTATACAAAAGATTTTGTAAGAGCATCAATACGTAACTTAGCTACGTATAGCGTGAGTTCAGAAGATGGACCTTATACAGCAAAATATAAAATTATATTAATACCAATATCCATATAAAATAAAAAATATTAATAACAATAAATTCGAATAAAATATATTCAAATAGTAATATTAAATTACTAATACACAAATTGGTATAATTAACTAGACATAGTTCCGAGAAAAACCAGCCAATTCATCGAGCCAATTTTTTTTACTACTATTACATAAATGTTTGTTCTTTTAAATAAATATTATCAATTAACAATTATTAACTGTTAAAGAGAAAATATAGAAAGAAACGTTAATAATAATTCATTTATGCAGCCTCCTAAATATTTAAATTAACCAACAATGAAATAACTGTAAAAGGTGTGATATTATTTTATTGCCTTAGATGGGCTCAGAGATTACAAGGCATTAAGTCGTCACCGGAGCCCATAGACATCTTGAGACATCGGTTCGAATGATCGGTTGTATTTCATAGCGGTTGTCCTACCTTATAGTTTGGGTTTTTTTAATGCTAAGAATTTTTGAACGACCAATAAGATTGTTTAGGGGAGAGGCGGGAACCTTCAAAAAATTTGGGACGGAACTTGAGAAGAGGGCCAATTAAAAAATTCATATCCTTTTTAATTAATTTAATTTGATATTCTGTAGATATTGTAGCATATTTTAGTTTATAACTGTATATATGTTTAGTTTATAATTGTATATTTTAGTACTTTAGCGTAGATAGTATGGAGTTGGAGGCGGGAACGGATCCCCCNAAAAAAAAAAAAAAAAAAGATTGTTTAGAATAGCAGCTGGTATCCCTCGGAGCTCAGCTGGAATGTGTCAAAAGTGTCAAATTGTCAAAACTTTTGAAGTTAAGTGTAGGTAGTTGAACCGTAAAGTAAACCATAACAGAAAAGCACTAGAAGATAACGGAAAGTGTAACGTACCAAATAAATAAAGACAATCGTATTTAACCACAATTCAGTAATTAGTTTTTGTGCATCTTACCAAACCTTTAACCAATTAAGTTATTTATACATTATATTATACAGACCGATTATTGGAAGTTTCAAAGACCTGGGTATCGACTGTATGTAAGTTGAAATAAAATTTATCTTCGATTAGAAGTATAATTTACATATTTTAATTTATAATATTGTTTACTCCCTACCTATACTATGTTATCTCAATTATCACGTTACAGGATTTACAAATTGTAAATAAATATTGAAATTCTAAAAAATATAATTTTCTAACTTGAAAGCGCTTTGTACAAAAATCTGTACAGAGAATTAATTAAAACAGGAACCTAACAAGGATTATTTATGTATTTTTTATGAATAATTGGCAGTTACTTGTTTCCTTCTTTGCATTTACTAACTTTTATAAGCCAAAAAGTATTTGAAATTAGCATTGAAAAAGTTTACAGATTTTACTTTGGCCTACTACTGATTTACCTTTTTTATTGCATAGATATGTGAAGGAGCTCACGGCACACCTGATGCTAAGTGGTTACTGGAGTCCTTAGATATTACAATGTGAATGGTGACACCTGCCTTGAAACATGAGGGGAAAGGCTCGATCATATAAGATCACAGCTATTCCTTCCTTTAAATCAGAATGTATTACTGCTTAGATCCAGAAATAAGCAAGTGGTATCTATCTGTGTGGGTTCACATAATGCCCTTCCAGTGAGATTGAGTCAAGATTAAACTTTCCACTCTCCTAATTTAACACTATCATTTTAAAAATAATTATTAATTAAGTCAATTATCGGTGGATTGAACAATGCACTTATAGGAGGACAAGCCGCACGCTCCAGCTCCGCTCGGGTCTCTAACAAAAATTTCAAAGATATTTGACGTTGTTTTATTTTTAAAAATAAAAGAATACTTATTGTGGCATAACTATAATTGTTAGATATATGCTGTCGTGACACTTTTTGTAAATAATAATGTGTTCTACAAAGTCGTAGTACAATATTTTATTGTAACATCGATCGTTTTCGCAGGCCACGCGATGTAAAGAACATTTTAGATAATTTTTTACACTTTGGATTATGTAATTGGAGTTTTAGTAAGGATCCCTAATTTTTTTCAAAAATGACACTCGGGAATAGTGAAGCTTCCAAACAGTCAAAGATTTTTTCAAATCGGTTCCAGAGATCTTTTTTACCATGTACCATCCGGCTTTGGAATGAGCTCCCCTCCAGGATGTTTCCCGAGCGGTATGACTTGTCCTTCTTCAAAAAAGGCTTGTGGAGAGTACTCAGCGGTAGGCAGCGGCTTGGCTCTGCCCCTGCCACTCACCATCATGTGGGCCGTGTCTGCCGACAAGGGCAATAGAAAAAAAAACATATATAAAATAAGAAAACTAGTTCAGAACCTGAATGCCAAATATCTTTTACAAAAATATTACTGTGACCAGTAGCTATAAACCGACTAGGTAAACAAAGAAACTAGGGACGCAACATAGTTCATAAAAAACATGGATGTTAGGAGATCGATTTTCAAAAGTAAAACGTCAATATAATTTTAAAAAAAAGTTTTTAAAAACAAAAAAAATACGCTTTTATAGAAAAATCAACTAAAAAATAGAAAAATATATTTTAATAAATTTGAATTAAAAATAGTTTATTCATTCATTCATTCATTCATTGTAAAAAAAGCGTGGGTTGCTTTTCAGGATATTATCAAGATACCGGACATCTTATCCTGTACGATAAAACATCGTTCATGAACAACGACGTTTCGCCGCTATTTTGTTTTCAAACATCGATGTTTAGTTTGCATCCCTATATTTTTCCAGTGTAATAACCAAATGTATCGGGAAGCGCGGGAAACTCGATTGCAGACGTACGCGTTTTTCGACTTTTATATTATATTATTTTATTTTTTGGATTTGGATCAGTAGTTTAGTGTAGTTTGTATAATAATTGAGAAACGTCGTGGCCTAACGGATAAGACTTCCGGTGCACTCGTGTTGAGCGATGCACCGATGTTCGAATCTCAGGCGGGTACCAATTTTTCTAATGAAATACGTACTCAACAAATGTTCACGATTGACCTCCACGGTGAAGGAATAACATCGTGTAATAAAAATCAAACCCGCAAAATTATAATTTGCGTAATTACTGGTGGTAGGACCTCTTGTGGGTCTGCACGGGTAGGTACCACCACCCCGCCTATTTCTACGGTGAAGCAGCAGCCGTTGTAACTATACTGAGACCTTAGAACTTATATCTCAAGGTGGGTGGCGCATTTACGTTGTGGATGTCTATGGGCTCCAGTAACCACTTAACACCAGGTGGGCTGTGAGCTCGTCCACCCATCTATCTAAGCTAAAAAACTAAAATAAAAAATATTTATATTTGTTTTTTTTACGTTTTATTTGTTTAAATTTTACTTAAAAGTGAATTAGGAGTTTTATTGGTAAGTTTTTTTTTCTTAACTTTTGGTCCTTATGGAGCCGCCTGATGACCCTGGGGGCGGAGAAGTCTCTGGGGTCGATTATAATGTAACAATCTCAAATGTATCTGGAATGGAAACCGATGGATCTGTTAAATCTAGCAGTGGTGCTCGAGAACGTAGAGCCACTGTCAATAAGCATTGCTCTAAATGCCATAAAAAAAGACGAAATCGGAAACGAAATGAGGGCAAAGAATTGAAACAAAACGAATGTGATTGCATACCTTTGTTTAATAATAACACTAACACCCAAAGTATTACTCCTCCCCAATTCACTGACTCGCAACTGAATTCCAATCAGTCCAATCAGTACAAAAAACCAGAATCGGTAGCTAGATTAACTTATCAGGCAAGTGATGCAGCACCATATGTTGTTCATGTGCAAAAAATACAGCAAACTCCTAATGATAATGTTACAGTTCACCCTATCGCTTTTGGTCGTTTTTTAAAAAGGAATTTTTGGAGATATATATACGACAAAGGGAACATCTTCCACCGAGCGGGCGATATTGCTCGGTAGACCGACGGTCTAAATGTTGTTGTTCGGAACTTGTATATATGCGCTTTATCTTAAAAATGTCGTAAGCGAGATTCAGGCATCTGTCAATTATCTTGCGTTGTATAATGGCTACCCGCCACAAATTCTATCCACAACATTGTTAACGGAAGCTTAAAACGAATTGGCCGTAATAGACTATTTCTATCTTTTAATAATTACCAGGACGCAAATTCTTTCTTAAACAGCCCTGCTTTGCAATCCGCCCAGTATAAGGTTTTTATCCCAACGTTTACTGTGACCCGTATGGGTGTTATAAGAGGCATACCTGCTGAGTAGTCAGATGAAGAAGTTATGGAAAATATTAATTTACCTGTTGGATGCGGTCCAATTTTAAAAGTAAGAAGAATGAGACGGCGTATCATTACTAGTAATGGCAGTGAATTTAAGGCTACT